GTATCTCTCTTCAGTTGACTATGGTTATGTATGTCCTATTAAATATTTTATACAATAATACAAGGGCGGATTATAGAGCAAACGACGGTAGAACATAATTGTTTATTTTCATTAGTATAAGTTTTTTTTCACACAAAATGAATACTTATATATATATATATATATAAATATATATATATATATATATATATATCCATAATCTATTCATTTTTTCCTGATTTTTAAAATATTTATTTTTGACTTTTTATATATAACAAAGGGTGTTGTAGTCAAAACAAATGATAAAAGTCAAAAGAGTCTTATTAGGACAATAGTTTCTTCAATGTGGGTCAATTTACCAAATTTTTATTTAAATTATTTTAATTTGTGGATGTGTTATTTTTTAACCTATGATCAAACTTTGTAATTTATAAATCTAGAGTAAATGATAGTGTTTGAATTTCGAGGGACTATCAGCTTTTAGAGGTTTTGGAGAGAATCATTGAAAGACAATTTGACCATGGCAAGTGAATTTCCCATCAATTGAACATGAATCACGAAAGCAAACAATGATTTAAACCTTCGAACTCTTAATGCAAAAAGAATCTCAAAAGATTTCAATCCTTTTTTGGGAGTTTCATGTTTACCCAATCCCATGATCAAAATTTACATAAACGAGGAATGTTGTTTAATTACATGAAATTATCAAGAAGACTTTAGTATACCCACAAACTCGGGTACCATAAAGGTATCCCTAACAAAGATCTCTTGCATGTCCTTCTTGATGGAATGTCATACTAAAGACTTTTTTAAAGGTAGCCCTACATTTCTCCACATGAATGTAACCAAACCTGTACAAACAAACAAAAAACAAACGGATCTGAAATTAGCCGAAAACGAGAAAAAACTAGAATAAAATTTAGAAAACAAAGATAGAAATCATACTCTAGGTTGTCAGGCAGGAAAAACCCTTATGATGTTCTCTTCTGATAGCTTCTTTCTTCAGGCCTTTCTTGAAGTTGCTCACAAAGAGCGTTCGTCGACCATTTTTCGGACGTCCAATGAAGACGTGGCGACCAAGGTTTTCTTGACTTACCTTGACTCAGACTATTTAACCGTTTATCTTTAAGGTCCTTCGTTTTTTTGAAAAAAAAATTACTTACATATCAGATTTTGTCGTTCATGCATGCAAGATTTTCAAAATAGGTCAATGAGGGTGGATATGGAATTCATGTCTCATGTCATCTAAATCGACTTGTGGTCCAATATATTTTGAGTATATTGGATCATCCGAATCAACATAAGGTGAGGGAAGGTAAGGGTTTCATGTTTATTGGATAGGAAGGTGATGATTTCATAATGGAATAACAAAATTCATACATGATTCTCGATCTTCTCTAATCTACCAGCATCTTTGAACGTTTGCTCATTCAGATGGTTTTTGGACGAAGATGAGAAATGATATTTGTTTTGTGCAAAAAATGAACAACATCCAGATGGACCATTTTGATAGAGATGATTAAATAAAAAAATTTAACAAATATACCCTCATTTACAATCATATCTCAAATAATGTTAATTTTCTATTATTTCCATCAAAATCATAAAACTTGGAATTGCATTTTAAAAAAAAACACAACAAAGAGGATAGTGAAAAGCAAAAAGCCAGGTTCACAACAAGAAGGATATATAGAGCCACCAAACGGTTGGTTGGCTTTATAAATAATTGGTATAGAAAGAGCATTTGGAAAAATTGCATGTGCAATTAACAAGGTTTGTTGATCGAGGTTTCTTTTAAGGTTGCTGATCATTATTATTATATGTGAAAATTAGACTTTTCTTTTAGGCGATTGTTTAGATGTATATAAATCTGAGGAAAATGTTGGTTTTAGATGCTTAAATTGACCATTAATGGAGTAACAACACTGAACACATATAGTCACTTATGTGCTAAATATCGTGATCAATAATACCAATTTGGAATAAATAAGTTCTATATAACTCCTAACTCTTTTTTACTTGTCAACCAAATGTGTATCAATCAAATGTGATATTAGCATGCCAAATCGAAAGAAAAGAATCTATAAAGACTAAAGTTTACACTCCGTTTTTAGCACTAGGAGTTATAACATGTCATGTCACGAAGGTAACAAAAATTGGTGGTACATCGTTTTTCGTTTTACTTCTATAGTTCTATCATCTATGTTATATAAACTGAGATTTAATTGGGCTTTTTAGTTGTGAAGTACCTAATTAGCCAAAACTCTTGATTATAGGCCCAACAAGAACCTCTTCTTTACGGATTTTTTTTATCAAGAACAAAATATTTTTTAAGGATTGCAACTTCTTAGATTTCTTTGTCAAATTTGTTGACTTATTTTTATGCGTCGAAAATTCTCATTCAAGCTAAATAGTCAAGCATA